TAAGAGTGCATGTGTAATGAAAAAAAGGTGCAATGATGCCCTTAGTTCTTGTTGTTTTCTAATATGTTTAATTTAGTACCAGTGACTTATTTTAAGTTGATTTTTCTCCCCAATACTGCAAATTACAAATAATAGATGGGTGCTAATATTTTGTAGCAAACTCCATAGAATTGGGATTAATAATTTTTAGGATATATGTAGATAAAATGGGTGTAACACCCCAATTTTTAAGTTGATTTCAATTTAAACTTATGTAATTAAATTTCAGGGACTCATTTGTAATAATTTGAAAATTTAATGTATTTTTAAAACTCTTGGGAGTTCAGGGACCCAGATCAGGATTTGCCCCTTCTCTGTTTGCAAAGAAAAAACGGATTTGGTGAGGCTGGTAGGCATTGATCCCATGACTTAGGGTATCGAGCTAGGTAACTTTACTTTTTTTATTATTATTAAAATATTTGTTATAGATAGTTGGAATTTTAAGTTCCCAAATCCCATCCATTTTGATCGAAAAAACACCAAAAAAAAATACCTAACTTTCTAAAGCTTTCAGAGTCTCCTTCCACCGTCGATTACAGTCGTCTCTGGTTGTCATGTCATGCACATTCCTCACTATTAAGACCGCTGTCACCGTCCGATCAAAACTCAATTGATCAATCGTCGTAAAGTCTCTTCGTTCGTCGTGAATCAATGTTTAAAGCTTCGTTGGAGACCCAAAGCCGTAACCTCGACTTTTCGCGTTTTCACGCAAATTTCGAGCTTTGATTGCCACACTGCTTCCACCACTGTGATCCTCGACCCATTCCCCTGTTGTTGTGTTTCGCCGTGGTAAGCAATCCAATTTCTTTATCTGTTTAATCTTACTCTATTTTTGACTTATTTTCAAACTGGAGCGTTTTTGGTTGATAGATGCACGCGCACGTGCCACCACATGCCGCCAATGCGCGTGGGGTGACTCCTCTAGCCCAAATCCCTTTAAACTAGTCGAGTGAGTCGAGTGAGTCAACTGAGTCAACTCATTCTAAGTCAACTCATGACGAGTCAACTCAAACTTCTTTGACAAAACTGTTGACTTTGACCCTGAACGTTGACTTTGATCTTGACATAAAAGTTAATTTAAAAAAAAAATCATATTTTATGTTTTTCGACGTCCTAAGTCTGAATCCATGGTATGTTTCACCAAATTCAAAATTGGTAAGCTATTTTTCAGTGTTTTATCTTTCAATTCAATCTGATTTCTTGATTAAATTCCATTTCTGATGTAAATTCTTTTGTATTGTATTCAAGATATTTTGGGATGTCAAATTCTTGTTCGAGAGCGACCAGATGGAGTTAAAAGGGTCGATCAATGTAGTTTAAAAACTGAGGTTTTTAATGAGGTCCGTCGTTTCTCTAAAATAAATAGTTTTTAGAGAGATAATTATTATTCTTAAAGATTTCGAATTTAAACATTAATTTTTATAAAGTATTTAAATGTTTATTTTTAAATGATTCGTAATGCTTAAAATAAATATCACCTCATTATTTTTTTTAATTAAGCGCCGAAAACCTAGAAGTTAAAATGAATAATTTGTGCAGGAGAAGAAAGAAAAACTCATATTATGATTACAGATTTTATTATAGATTTTAATTTCTAATATTTTATTAGTTTAGTTTCACAAATGAAAATAATTTCGTGATTGTTTTCCTAACAAAACTATATTAACTTAACCACATAAGTTTAATTTCAAAAGGCTTAATACCAAAGTAAGTGCCTAAATTATATCTAAATTCTCGAATAGATGCCTAAACTATTTTTTGACCCATCCAGGTGCCTAACGTTATCTATTTAGGTGCGTGGGCCATCAAAGGAGTTAATTTCTCCCGTTAAGTGACGCTTAATTTGAAATTTATTTTTTAGAAAATATTATTATATTTATAACACATCCTATTTTCTCTTAAATTATAAAAAAAAAACCCAAAATACTAAAATCTCCAAATCCTATTCTTAATCCATCGATGCCTTTCCGACCACAACCACCACCGCCGACGCAGCCCTTACCATCCTCCTAGTCGTACAATGTCGTAACTATCGTCAAGATCGCATGAGATCACGATTTTCATTCTATGGTTCACGGGGTATAAAACATTGATTTGTCGTCGATCGGTCACGATTTCATTGGGGTTTTGGTCATCGGGGTGAGATGAGGTCGGGTGGAGCTTCGTCGATGGCAAAGGGTGATGGTCGGCGTGGTTTTAGGGGTTGAAATGAATGTTTTCAAAGTTTTTGGGTTATTTCAAAATATTTATGCTTTTTTAAAAAATATATATAATTTTAATTTTTTAATTTTATATTTTTAAAATAACCATATTGTGACACATGTCACTTAACGAGAAAATTAACGTCGTTGACGGCCCATGCACCTAAATGGATAATGATTGTAACATTAGGCACCTGGATAAGTCAAAAAATAGTTTAGGCACCTATTCAATAATTTAGGTATAGTTTGGGTACTTATTTTGGTATTAAGCAATTTCAAAACTATATACAAATTTCGGTTTATTATGAATTGCAGTACATAAATTTTGATTTTATAAATGTATACGTATAATTTGATTTAATCTAATTTTGTTGGCACAAGCAATATTGGTTAGGCAGTGATCACTTACTTCCAATGACAGAAGCTAGACATATATGGTGTTAATTTTTATCCAAATCATAAATATATTTGAAGGACTTTTTGAGGTGTAAATGAACGAACTATTCGTAAATTGTTTGTATAATGTTCGTTTATGTTTATTTATTAAGTTAAATAAATGAGTATGAAAAAAATCTTTATGTTCATTTAATAAACAATTATCAAATAATTTATAATCTCGTTAATCGAGTCATCTACAAACTCGTTTACTCATTTCTTTTTTTTTTATATATTTTAAATATTGGTGAAAATATGAACTAAATTGAACATAAGGTGAACTTTGATGTTTAAATTGTAAAACCTAATAAAGTTAAGGAGTGGTGATGCAATTTCATTATTTTTATTTGACCCACAAATAAAAAGATAACAAGAGTATTGGTTGATGAATATTAAATAAAATTTTAAATTTTAATACGTTCATTATCCAATCAAATCTAAAATAAAATTAAGTTAAATTATCATTGTACTGTGCTCGTAAGTGAAATTATCGTATAAAAAACAAAACTTAAACTCAAATTAAATTTATATTATTAGTTAATTATTTAAAAGAAATAATACCGAAGACATTATAAACATATAAAATACATTAAATGTTAAAATATTATTTAGACATATAATACCGTTTAAATATTAAACTAGTATAAAACATAAATATTTAATAAATTATAACTTAAATAATTAAATATTTAATAAAAAAAATTGTAATAAATAAATTAAAATAAAAAATTATTATTTCAAGAATATTTTTACCCAAAAATATATATTGTAAATGAATCAATAGATAATATTCTTTTTGACCCCGTAAGAATGAGCACAAATTGCACATAAATAATATTACGAATGAAATCATTACCCGGGAATCAAGGTAAGGATTTAATGCCCACTACGACGACGACGTATATAATGGAAGAGGCCCAAAAGTCTTCTCCATGTATAAATATTTGGGTAAACTACGTATTTAGTCACCCAAAAATTATATTTAATGATATTTTTTATTCCGTTTCGGTCATACACTATTAAAAATTTAATAGTGATATTGTGTATGACTATAGGATAATGTCACTTCATTATTGAAAAAAAAATGACACATCAATAGTTTTATTTATTTTTTAATGATGGGTGACCAAAATAGAATCAAAACATAATATTATATGTGATTTTGAAAAAAAGAAGATATAATTAGATGATCTAAACGAAATTATGAGAATAGATTGATGACTTAAATATGTAGTTTACCCTAAATATTTATGTAAAATAAAGGATAAAGTATATAAATGGTCCCCCAACTATAGGGTGTTGCTTTATTCAATCCCTTAACTATTAAAAGTTGTAAAATAGTCCTTCAACTATAGAATGTTGTTTTATTAAGTCCCTCGACTATTAAAAGTTACAAAATGGTCGCCTGACTATTCATTATGTTCCAAACTCTCCCTTTTTCATTAAAAAATTGGTGATTTTCTAAGTTGGACATTAACATGATAACTGAGATATGATACTCGTTTGAGATTCTGTGATCAGATTTTATTATATCACAATTAGTAGGTTAACGTTTAGTTGAGAATACTGTCAAATTTTTAATAAAAAATGATGGGTTTGGAAAATAATAAATAGTTGGTGACCATTTTATAACTTTTAATAGCTGAGGGACTCAACAAAGTAACACTCTATAATTGAAGGATTATTTATTAATTTTTAATAAACGAGAGATTTAATAAAATAATACTTTATAATTGAAGGATTATTTTATAACTTTTAATAAAGTTATCCTCTATAGCCAGAGTACGATGTGTGTAGGGTGTAAACGAGCCGAGTCGAGCTCGAGTATTGCTGAGCTCGACTCGACTCGAAAACTCTGAAATGAAGCTAAACTCGAAAACTCGCGAGTTTGAAATTTTCAAGCTCGACTCGAACTCGAAATCCTAAACTGAAGCTCGTGAGCAGCTCAAAAGGCTCGAAATAATTTTTTTTCTTAAACTTAACTCTATTGAAGCCTCAAACTCGAACCTTAACCTTAAATACATAAAATCTTACTATATTTTTAAAAAATAAATACATAAATGTTAATATTATTAATCATTTATTTAAAAAAAAATAAAATCTTAATATATTATATTTTCGAGCTGCTCTCGAGTTTTTTGAATCGAATATCAAGTAGTTCGTTTCGGCTCGTTAAGAACTCGAGTCGAGTTCATTCAATTCGAATATTTATCAAACCTTAATCAAATCAATCTCAAATAATTCACGATATGTATCATCTAATTTTCGACAGTAGATGTGTGTCACTTAACCTTATAATAAAAGGGGAAGATACATTGGAAAAAGAAAACCGAAAACTCGTGTGTGTTGTTTTGTTAAAGTGTTTAGATTTCAGATCATCGTTGAGTTCCTCTTCTCCGTTGCAAAAATTCACATCGAGCATCACCCTTTATCTCTCATCTCATCCCATGATCCGTTTTCCCCTTTAATCTCAATCCCTTCCCCTTTCCTTTCAAAAAAAAGAAAAAAAAAAAAAATTCTCAACCTCTGCTTTACGCCGCCATCCCTCTGCCGATAACCCACCCTTCTTCTTCCTCGTATTTCCTTTGCAGTTTTTTATCAACTTATGCACGTAAAAGATAATCCCCCATTTTGCTTCTCGTTGTAGACATGCATTGTGGATAGCGATAACGTGCAAAGTGGGGTTTGTCTTAATTATTGAGTTTTTAATAAGAACAGGGAAGGTAAAGGGAGTTGGATATGGCGAATCGGGTCGTCAAAGTGAGAAGAGAAGCGATTGCGGCATGCATGAGCTGTCCTCTTTGCAGTAAGCTTGTTAGAGATGCCACCACCATATCCGAATGTCTTCACACATGTGAGATTTCTCTCTCTCTTTGCTTTTTCCCTTTCAAATCCCCTGTTTTTCATTGGGTGCTCTTGTTTTCCCCGTTTTATTTTCTGGGTTTCTCTATTGACTTCTATGTTGACTTCTTCGCCTCAATTACAATTTACTGCTTTTGTTTCGTTCCTCCTTGTTTCTAGCTGGTTAATGCTAAGGGCAACGAAATCAAAAAAAATGGAAAAATCCATATGAATTGAGTTATTTGGTTTGATTCAGTTCGGAATTTTTTTTTTTTGACTCGGTTTAGTTTGAAGGGTAAAGTATATAGATAGTGGAGATTGTTTTGTTGAATATAACAAAATGATTATTTTACTTTTTATATAGAGTTAACATGCTAATTGGAACATATCAGCTCACTATTTTTAAACTTTTAATACTAGAAAGATTCAACTAAGCAACTTCTTATAGTCAAGGACTATTTTATAACTTTCAATAGTTAGAGGACTCACCAAAATAACACTTTATAGTCGATGAACCATTTATATACTTTACCCTGGTTTGACAGATGTTGAACATTTAAAAACCTCAAAACCGAACCGATTGATAATTTTGGTTTTTATGTAATTTAATTTCTGTTTCATTTTTAGAAAACTGCAGAGTGCGATTTGATTTATCTTTTATTGAAAAAATCAAACTGAAAGGAATACACCCCTAGCTAAGGCATCCTGGTAGAATAACAAAATTGGTATAAGATTATGAATTGGTTTTGTTTAAACTCTGGGATTTTGCTAATGAGTATGCCTAAGACACTTTTTAAGGACACTACAATCTTCATCTGATATTGTTTCTACTTTCCACATTAAGCTAAGGGTTCTTTTTTGTTTTACACGTCCATAACAAGATTCAAACTTTAAGATGAATTTTTTCCTGTTTTTGAAGTGGAACCAGTATTATGCAAGTTACGGTAATGTTTAAGTTGCTTTGATTACTAACTACACTTTCTCGGCTTGTTTCCTTTGAACTTTCTTGCAAGTTTGATGCGTGTGATCTTTTTTTCATTGCCTTGTAAGGTGAATCAATAAATAGAAGTTTATGATCGATTTTGTTTGTTTTGAGTTTTATGTAGTTTGCAGAAAGTGCATATATGATAAGATAGAAGACGAAGATTTAGAATGTTGTCCAATATGCAACATTGATTTGGGTTCTGTTCCGTTGGAGAAGTTAAGGTATCCTTGTTCCTTCACTTATATTTCTCTCAGTCTCTTGTGTCTCATAACTCAAAACTAATATGTTAGTTGCTTCCTATATGACCAATGCTTCTGATATGTGAAGCAATCACCTCTAGTTTTAAGTTTTAATCTTGTCGAATACAAGAAAAGATTTGTTCTTTATGCGTTAGAATCATTAATATTTTAGAATTAGGGGTCATTCCTTCATTTTTGAGATTTGTAAGTGGATTCTACATGCCATTGGTGCTATAGATTTTGGACTTAAACGTCTGGTCCCAGCAGAGCTCATTGTTACCAAGTTCTTAAAGAAAGAAAATTAGGGAATATGTTGATTTGAGTGTAACTTAGCCAATTTCAAGTGATCTAGCCCGAATCTAGCCGTGTCCTGTAAATACAAGAACTCATTGCTTTTTCAGGATTGGAAGTCTATTGATGCTAAAATCAATGTGAAATATGTTGAAGTGGAAAGAAAGACCTTGTACTGGGTGGATTCATGTTATTGCATGCAGCTTTTGGCTTTGCCGAGTAATCTTCTGTATATTTCTTGATAGACCCTCTGCAACGATGCATAATGTTGGTTAATTGAAATTTTAGAAAAATTAATGTGTATTGAGATGCATCTCTGCTTTTGATAATCAGGCCAGACCACACTTTGCAAGATGTGAGGGCCAAAATCTTCCCTCTTAAAAGAAGAAAAGAAAAGGAACCCAAAGCTCTGCCTCCGGTAACATTGCCAACTAGAAGAAAGGAGAGATCACTGTCTTCATTGGTGGTTAATGCCCCCAAAGTATCAACACAAACTACCATGACAGCGAGGAGAACACAAGGATTTGCCAGAAAGGCTAGTGCTTTTCGAGGTTCCGGTTTTCCGGTAAAGAAGCCTGTTAAAAGAGAGAGAGACTCCGTGGAGGATCACCAAGAGAGTGCAAGCTCACCCGAAACGCTAAATAAATTCACCCAGAATAAAAGACAGGTAAATTTTTAATACATGTTTTAAGTATCTTGTAGTGTCTGATATTGTTTAATACTTCTCGGTTTATCTCTAACATCCATTTACTTGAAAAGAAATAGTGTTTTAGATAAGACTCGATAACATATGTTGTCTTCAAAAAATTGAGCAATACAGTTTACATCTGCCGAACGTAGACAACACACTGATAAAGTAGAGAATGGTAGAAAATCATGGGACGGAATATCAGATCTCTTGAAACCTTTGGACTGTTTGGTGGAGGTTGCAAATAGGACCAAGTCCTTAAAGTCTAATTTACAAGGCTCCGATTCTAGATTAGAATCTATCCGTGCCCCCATCGCTGAAGCTCAAACGTGCAAAAACACTCTCAGGAAAGACTACTGCAGAACAAAAGACGAGGATGAAAAGAATAATGTTGGTCCGGCAAATTCAGAAACCACGACTACTAAAAAGTCGAGCAGGATCCTTCAAAAAAGTGGTTTGGGATTTGGTGATTCTATCGTATCTCCTCAAGCCGTGCTAGATGCTGCTGGTGCAAAGCATCAAAGACGAATTGGACCCGTGTGGTTCTCGTTAGTGGCCTCTCAAGAGCAGTAAGAACTTATTTCAGCCTTCGAAACTAAAATGGATAACGTAGTTAGTTTAAGATGATTTCGTCTTGCTAATTAACTGATTCAATTATCAATGCTTTTAGGGAAGGCGATGCACCCCTCCCTCAAATTCCTGCAAATTTCCTAAGGATAAAGTAAGTTCCTTTTGTTCGAGTCTTAGAATAGCTCATTATATGTATATATATATATATATTCTAACCTGTTGGTTGGCCCTTTTCTGTACCATAATCTCCTAGTGTATGACTTGGCATTCAGTTTTCATTGTTATCTCATTCTGTGACAGGGATGGAAATATACCTGTTTCTTCTATCCAAAAATACCTGATGAAGAAATTGCACCTCACCGATGAAGCTGAGGTGACTTGATCTTTTTTTGAATTTTGCTACATTTTGTATATTCCTCTGCTTAGAAAATAGGTTAGGCAAAGCATGTTGCAGTAAAGATGCAGTAGTTTCAGCCATTGTGACACTTCATTTGGTAACCATTGTCTAAAACAAGCTTTATTTACAATTTGACAGGTTGAGATCAAATTTATGGGGCAGCCAGTGGTTCCCACATTGCAGTTGCATAATTTAGTCCGTTGGTGGCTACAAAGAGCATCGACTTCGCGGCGAGTAGCGGCATCTGTTGGTTCTTCTGCAAAGGATTTTATCATGGTGTTGGCATATGCTCGAAAAGGCCCACAGAGATAGTTGTGCTTTCTTTCATTCTTTTTGCCACCACACCAACACACACGTATATATAACATTCGAATTCGGAATGGTATTCGGATCATTCTACCTAGTTGTTGGAAATCATGTCATATAACTTAAAGTTAGAAGTGACAGCATCTTTATATGAATGGTGGCATGTTTTTTGAGTTGACTGGATTCTAATCAGCTTCTTGAAATGACTGGGATGAGATGAGAGAAGCCAAAGGAATAAAAGTAGAACTGATCAAAGCTTTATGTTTTGCGATGCAACAACCCACAAATTCTTTGGAATCGAATATCAAGGACGGTATCCATTGGGCGGTTTGGGCTGGACTGGAATGAATTTCTGAAAATTTAAAATTGAACTGAATTATATTTTAGTTTTTGTTTTATTTATGATGTTTTACTTTGCTTCTCAAAAATAAAATCTAAAAATTCAAACTCAATATTAACATTAAAAAAAATTAACTCTTATTTACTGTGCAAAGCACATCTAGTTGTTGAAGAAGCAAAAACTGGAAGAGAGTGTAACACCCCTATACCGTATATGTATTCGAATAGGAGTTGGTGGTGCCATATCAACCATTTCAAAACATTTCCTAGTCAAAAACAGTAAAATTTTGTTTCTTTTAAAAATCGTCAATTAACTATTTTTCTATTATCATTTTCATAATTGCGTAAAATAGAAATATAATATTTTAACATCCATTTCAAATTCGGTTTCGGGAAACAATTAGGCAGTTCGATATTGTTTCATATAAAGAGTGAAACTGCCTAAATAAAAATTCATCTATATACAATTAAAAACATAACTTTATCGAATATTAAGATTAAAAAACTATATATATATATAGACACGCACAACTCATTTAAACCTTATAGACATATCAAAGCCTTTCTAATTCAATTTAAGAACATAACCACATTAATAATTTACATACACTTCTTATTTGTATACATACCAGCTAGAAAATTTAAATTTTAACAGGATGTCATTACTGATACATGTGAATATTCCTTTATGATTGATGTCAAGATTAATTCACTTAGCGAGACATTATCAAATATAAAATTAAACGAATCGGTATATAAAATATCACATAACTTATAGCACAAAAAATATTATATAATAATATACGAACATGTGAAACATATTTTTAAACCTTTCTTTGAACCAAAATCTGAAAATCAACATTTCATAATACACATATCAGAATGAACATATCAAATATAAGGCATTTTATGCAAAATCAGAATATTCGATGAAAGCTTTATTTTCAACGAATCAAATAAACATGCATTTTTCACATTTATTTAACTGAAAGCCCAATGTATAACAAATGAGAATGCATGGTACGTGATTTAGATGAGTGTGCACAATATGCAATCGCAACTACCATAAATAAATTGCATTCTTGGTGCCAGACACAAGTATAGGTACCGTAGAACACAACATCACTATACTGAAATTAGAAATCAGACATGGTAACTCACAATGTCAACACATCATGAAACCTAGAACACACATATATTGCCAGAAAAAAATGTAATACCCTAAAATTTTGGCTAGTGACCAAAATGAGAATTTTGAAAGTTTAGTGGCCAAAGTATAAAATTGGGAAAATTTTAAGGACCAAAATAATAATTTCCAAAAAAGAAATTTTATCCAATAAGAAAATAGTTTAACCCCAAGAATTACATTTTTGTGTCATTCAGATTTTTCGTATGGAGTTTGTATTAAAAGTTATAAAGCGATAAAATCTGAGAAAAATTCAGATAATCAGATCGAATCGAATTTTTGAGATTTTTTGAAGGATGATGGAGAAAGGTTAATATTTTCATTTTCATTCTTAAATTAGTGGAATTTAACATGGATAATTGGATTTAAGTTAATCTTCCATGTTAAATAGGGATTGTTGGATTAAAATGGCGAGATTGTAATTTCGAAAAAAACTAAGCCATGAAATAGTTGGTTCATCTTTGACCTTAGGGGAGATTTTGTGGAGGAATCACAAAGTAGAGGAAACAACATGGGAACGTGAGGATAATATGTGTAGACAATTTCCCCATCTCTTTGTGCAATGAAAATTCGAAGATGAAATTGTATGAATCCTTAGAATAGTATCGATACCGAAGGAGTCACATCGATACTGAAGGTATCAATACTAATGGACAAGTATCGGTACCATTTTTAGAAGACAAATTCCAGAATGTAGATTGGGTATCAATACTGAAGGATAATATTGATACCATAGTGAGGAAGTATCGGTACTGGGCCTAGGGTACCTATACTATTCAGATTGAAATTGTGAATTAGGTATTTCGTTTACCTTAAGATATTGAGGATCTATTAATAGTAATATGAACTTCGATATTCATCTCGCTCGTATTATTGTGTAGATATTGAACGAAGGCAAGTTCCAGACGATTCAACGTTATAAGATCGACCAAGAGTGATAAGGGTTTTGCTTTGACTGAGTGAGGCCAAGGTGAGTGCATACTACTAATATATATTTTTTATGGATAGAAGACTTGTGATGATTCTATTTCCAATGTTTATATTAAAACAATATTTTGAAAGTTTATTAAATATTATGAATATATGTTTATATGAATATAAGCATAGTTTTGATTATGTTACTACGTGAACATGCACTGTTTATATTTCATACTATGTGATATTGATCTATGTGATTACATGAATATGTGATATAAGCTATGTGAATTGTATAAATGGTAAAGCCCAAAAGTATGTGATATAAGAGCTAAAGGTATAATTGGCATGCCAAGAGTCGAGGGTTCTACGCGGTCCTACGAGATAATTCTACGTGGTCATTCGGGACATTTCTACGCGGTCCTTCGGGACATATCTATGTGGTCCTTTGGGATATTTCTACGTGGCACTTCATTACATATTCTACGCAGCACTTCGGTGTAATTCTATGTGGCAGTTTCGACTGCAACCCAGTGCACAACCTCAATGCACTCATATACCTTAAGTTCTAAGTAATATACCATGGGCTATTAAAAGGAAATGACATGAATAAACAACGCATGATGTTATATGTTTTTGTTTTGTGAAATGTATTATGGTTTCTTTATTTTATGATGTTTTATAAAAGTTAAGTATAAGATTAAATGTTTTAATGTTTAATTACGCACTTTATTCCCTCACTAAGTCAAAGACTTAGCGTGTGAGTGTTTTCACACTTAGGTTCAAAGAAGCCAGAAGATCAAAGTTAGGACTAGTCAAGACAACATATCTCTACCAAAGATCAGATTTGAAACGATTTAAGAAGTATGTTCTTTTGTTATATTGAATTTTGTTGGCATGCAATTAAATGTTTAAATCGCATATGATTTGATCAGTCTTTTGTAAACATATTTGATTGTATTTATGTATATTATTAAATATTTTTGTTTGATTTGAACTTGAGTTTTCAATATTTATCTTAAGTTAAGGGTTTCACCACTTTAATACAAACAAAATATTAAATTTTCAACAAATTTTCAAAAGTCAATGATTCGAAAAGTCAATGTGATTCCTTGGATTCGTATCCAGGTCGGATACGGGTTGGGGTGTTACATTTAATGATATCAGAGCTACTGTTTAGCCGATTATAGGCTTAAACTAAAGTTAATTGTGTTTTAAAAGTATATACATGCCAACAAAAAGTGAAAAATTTCTGATCTGATAGTGTAATGAGTATGATGTTCTTGCTAATAGAGTTAAATGGTTATATTTTATTAGATGTCTGACCACAAAGGCTCCCGAAGTGAAGCGAAAGATAAATGACATAAGGGTAGTAGCAATTCACCTGCCCTGGCCAGGCAAGGTGAAGAACATGCACCTCAAGGAGTGCCTGTACAAGATCAGGGAGTGTTTTTCAAGACGTTTGACGCTATTCTAATGCGTTTCCAACCGTCTGCTCCCTCAACTCCTAGAATGAATGTAGCAAAAAAGTTGAAAGGGTTAGGTGCACCCGAGTTCAAGGGTAAAGCTGAGGAAGGTCTTATTGCTGCGGACCTTTGGCTTAATGACATAAAGATCAAATTAAAGGGTCTCCACTGCTATGAAGTTGAGAAGTTAGATGGAGCGGTCTCATTGTTATGAGGGCAAACTCAGGTATGGTGGACTAATGTCACCATGAAAATATCAAGTGACCAAGTGACGTGGTCGTTATTTTTAGAAGAGTTCAAGAACAAGTACATTGGTGATCAGTTTATTAGGAAAATGAAGCAATAATTTATGAGTTGAAGTAAGGGAATCGTACCATGTATGAGTACGAGTGCAAGTTTAATAAGCTGAGTAGATTTGCTGCGGAACTTGTTCCGACTGAGAAGGTGCATGCGATTGGTTTGTAGAGGGCTTGCACTCCAGACTGAAAGAGTTGTTAATAGTATTGAATCTATCCTCATTTCAAGAAGTGGTCAATCGTGCTAAAGCTATAGAAAGAGCTCAGAATGAGAGGTTTGGATAATAAAAAACTCAGACAACTAAGAGAGCTGGTGCTTCTTCGAGCTCAACACCATCAAAGAGAGGTATAGGTTATGGATTTCAATCTCAGACTAGATCCGAGTCAGCTACATCTTCTGCTAGAGGATCAAATCCAATGATAGCTAGACATACTAAATAAGTAGGGTCTATAGCTGGAAGATCAAATCAAGGTCAATCGAGGCAGTGTCAACAATGTGGGAAGAATCATATTGGAATATGACGAGTGGTTTATGAAGTATATTTCAGATGTGGGGACACTGGACATTTTATCCGAGATTGTCCATTGATGACTGGAGAAGCTGCAGAAATAGAGCAATCTACTACGGTGCCTTAGAGAGGTAGAAGAAGAAATCAGTATGTGTCATCCACTCAACATGAGATGTGTTCAACAGCTTGGGTCTACAATATTAAGACTAATGAAGATCACGATGATCCAGAGATCATTGCAGGTACTTTTCAGTTATTTGATAAGTTTGTTTTATTTTTGATAGATTCGGGATCAACCTATTCATTTATTAGTAGCAAATTGGTGAGAGAATTGAAAATCCAATTATAAGCAATAAGTAACGATGTAATAGTGACAAACCCATTAGGGCATATTACTTGGGTGAATCTATTTTATCGAGGGTGTCCTATAAATATTTAGGGAATTGAATTCCCTGCTAATCTGAT